CTGTGTTCCCAAACATGTAAGCAAGGCCATCCTAGCCCCAGAGAGTCTATCATAGCCCGGAACATCTATAAAAGCTAGCCTACAAAATCATCCTAATGTTAAATATTTATTGTTTTCAGCATCTGAGTTGTACTTTTTAATACAGCCAAAGCTAATACCATCAGTATATTACATTTACTGAGAAAGCATGAATGAGGTCCCAGTCCAGAGAAATGATGAAAATTTAACTGGAGAAAGAGGGACATTTAAGAAATTGTTCCTTCATCATCAGGAGTCTCAAACATGAAATGTTAGCTGGGACTTAAAAGAAGTTTCGTTGTTTTTTTAAGGTAATTCAGAACCTCATAGAAAATCAATCTCTCTGTAGGACTAAAAATATCTCAGCTTTGAACACTTTTTTCATTCTTATGAGACTTGAAAGCATGCCCATTGATCTAGCAAGAGCAATTTGCTAATAATTAGGCTGACAAGGCAGGTTTAGGATTGTTACCAAAAGGGTGGGTGAGGGGCTCCTTTAGTTCACAGAAGCCACCGCCTTAAAGAGAGAGGAAAGATGAAAACACAGCAACTGAAGTCCCTCTGTTCCATAAAATTCAGCTGATATTAAATTCTATCACAGAAATATAACTTCTAAACAAAAAGTCAGCTCATTATGTACTTGATACGAAGAAGAAATGGTCTTTAAGTCAAGTTTCCCTCCCAAGAGACACAATACACACATATTCCTTTCACATGGTATTTACTTCTTCTCTCCTCCTTTTTCCTTTGGGTCTTCCATGACTATAAACAATATGCTGTTGCCCATCTCTCCCATTAGACTTGAAGTTCCTTGAGGGCAGAGTCTGAGTCTGTGTTTAATTCAGGTTTTTGTTTGTTTGTTGTTTTTATGTCCTACAGCACAAGGTACAGAGAAGGTACTCAATAAATGTCTGTTACATAAATGAATGGAAGCGGGCACTTTCTATGTAATACAGAGACTAATAACCAGATCAGTCTGTCCCCAAGGCCTGAACTGGGAGCTTGGCAAAAATGGCCACCTTCTTGGCATGAAAGAAAGTTATAAAGTTTATATTACAAAGAGCTACATAGTTTATAAAAATGTGCCATTTTTTTCATGAAGGTGACTGAAATTCCACCAGAAATTGACACTTGATACAACTATGACATGTTTTCCTTTGAGTGAATTCCAGATAGTATATGTTCCTTGCATCCATTCTTTTTGCTTGGGAGAGCAGAAGGCCTGTGCAGGAGTCAGACTCCATGGAGTGCTGAGACGAATTTATCTTCCTGAGATAGCCCATGCCAAACAAGTTGCATCTTAAGGTAAATACTTTTTGGAAGCACAAACTAATTAAAAACAGCATTGTTTTGCTTTCAACTGGTTAATATGGTGAGCTTATTTTTACCATTTCAGTTGCTCATACCCCCCAAAACAAAACAAAACAAAAAAAACTATCCTTTCCCTTATAAAATATTTATTGTTTTNGTGACAATGCATTGAAGCTACTAAAGTTATCATTGAAAACTTGAAGTTAGTGTCAAATTAGGGGATTTTTTTTTGAAGGGGATTAGGCTAGACTAGAGTAATAGACTTGTTACATGGCCCAATGGTGGAGTGTTGGAAAGTAAAAATAACCTCTGATAGCATGAATAGGGATTATCAAAATAGCTATGCCTGCAACAATCTTGTAAATTTTCATTTCTTGAAGTCAAGTATCCATTGGAGGTTATAAATCATTTTCATTTTGCTATTATCAAGAAGAATAAAGTCTAACACCCGTGTCTTCAACTGAACCACCAGACAGCTACCTAGGTTTAGAAAACATAATGTTTCATTCAGCACAGTGCAAGTAATTCCAGTGTGCTGGTACCTAGAGGAAAAAGGATACTACAGAAAAGAAAAAAAAAATGTAAATTACTTTTGATTATTCATTTCGTATTGGGATTTTTACTCTTTACGCAATTGATTGCACATGCAACCAAAGGGGAAAAAACATCAACTAAATGGGTTTTTTAGCTGTGCTGCAGAATTCAGATAGGTACAATAGACTTGCCAATAAATTCAACAGAAAAAAATCAAACTTTCTCCTCAAGAGAAGAAAAACCATGAACATCAGCCTTTATTCAATCCCAATCGAGATCCATGGAAATGAAAGGAAGGAAAAGTTAAGAGTTAAGGTCTATTCAAATCTGTTCAATCTACAGGGTGAAAGCCAGGATAGAAAGAATATTTCATCTAGTAAAAGATTAATGTGAGAGCTCTTCTGAGTGATAACCACATTGCTTCCTCTCAGAGCTAATTATGCCTTTGAATCACATTCACAAAAGAAGACACAAAGTAACCTTCAGCAAATACTTATTTTAATTGCTTAATAGTGAACACTTCTTTTTGAGCTAATTGGGTTATTTTTCTGGGAGGTACACAAATCCCTCTGTTCTCAGTAGAATGTTGAAGATGAACAATGTTATTCCTTTGTAAGGAAGGTAATATAATTATTGACATCAGATTGTTTTTTTCAAAGATAATTTTAAATTGAATTTATTTTGATGGCACATTATTCTATGGAGTTTTTGAAGGGCCCAAAGCTCAGGAATGCATCTACAGCTGTGGTCTGTGCCTTTATGTAGAAAGAAAAGAGGTTTTCTGTAATATTATTTCTACATATCCATCCAGACAACTGAGAGGCTAGGGCTGAGATTGCCTTAGCATCCAATCTCAGTTGGCCTTCCAAGAAAACACATGCACATACTAATACCTCTTACAAGAGAGNGAAACAAGTGGAAGTCTTACAGCGCAAGGTCAGGCGAGTATGGTGGGTTGGCAACACATCCCATCCAAGCTCCAATCATTTTTGACGGGTGATCAAACTTGTGTGTGGTTTCGCATTGTCACGATGGAACACAACTCTTTTACAATTAACAAGCTCTGGATGTTTCTGGATGATGGATTCATTCAAAATGGCCAATTGCCAACAGTACACATTGGAATTGATTGTTTGGTTCCTTGGTAGGAACTCGAAAAACATAATAACTTTAAAATCCCACCACACTGAGAACATAACCTTCTTCTGATGAATGTCTGCTTTCCATGTTGTTTGAGGTGAATCATCACGTCGGGACCAAGACCGTTTGCTGTAAACAATCCATTTCTCTTCACCAGTTATCAGTCGCTTCAAAAAAGAATCGTTTTCCTCACATTTAATGAGCATATTGCAGATGTTTACATGCACCATCAAATGAACTTCTTTGAATTCACGCAGAACCCAAATAGCAAGCTTGCTTACGTATCCCAGTTTCTTCAGGTGGTCGTGAGTGCTTGAATGATGGATGATCAATGTTTCTGCAATCTCTCCTGTTGTGTAACATGGGTTTGACCCAATCAATGCCTTTATTTTGTCATCATCAACCTCGGTGGGCCTCCCTGACTGAGGAGCATCATTGAGATCAAAATCATCAGCTCAGAATTTCGTGAGCCATCGTTGGCACTGGCATTCTTGTAGAGCATTGTCGCTGTAAACTTTATGCAACTTGTCACAAGCTTGATGTGCATTCTTCCCTTTATGGAAGTAAAACAGTAAAACATGACAAAAATGTACAGTTTGGTCTTCCATCTTCAACTTGTTGTAAAATCTCCAAAACTCAACCAAATTGCTCAATTTTTTTTAGAATGAAGCTAGAACTGTCATCTGTCAAATGACATAGCAATAACATAGATGTGAATGACTCTAGTACTTCCAAAAATGAACAAGTGCCATCTGTCGCAAACATGCATCATGACTTTTCTAACAACCCTATAACCCATCAGCTACTCTTCTTGACCATATCTTCAAAATACATCCTGAGTTCAACAGTTTCTTACCACCTCCACTTTTATCTCTCTATTCTACAAGTCATCATTTTCTGGCTGTACTACTTTAATAGTCGCCTAACTGGACTTCCAGCTTCTACTCTTTTCCTCCATAGTGTATTGTCCACATAAAGGCTAACATGACCTTTTCAAAAGTACCTCATGTTCCATAGCAGAGAATAGCTAGTTGTTCAAAACTCTAGGTTTTTTTATTCCTTGCTTTCAAAGCTAGAGTACCTTTTACATTTTCTTTTGCAGTTTTGTCATACAACTCCTTTTAGCCAATGAAATACAGGTAAGTGACATTTGCCATTGTCAAGTCTAACCCTCAGATGCTCCCATGTATGATTCCCTCATGCTCCTTCTCTTTATGCTAGCTTAACGCAGCAAGCATGCAACTTGCTTCCAGATGGAATAATGCTGGGTCTCTGAATTGCTCTCTGAAGCAGTTACCCACTGATTAGGAATACACATTCTGTATTTTATATAAATGGGAGATAATCTTACATGTTTTTGTGCNGTGAGCTTATTTTTACCATTTCAGTTGCTCATACCCCCCAAAACAAAACAAAACAAAAAAAACTATCCTTTCCCTTATAAAATATTTATTGTTTTATATATTTTTTTAAAAAAAGAACCAAATCAATTCTATTTTGAAAGGCACATTAAAAATGTAAGCACAAAGCACAGGGCACATTTCACAGAAGATTGGAATTGTTAACAGTTTTTTTTTCATCTACCAGAAGAAATCAAATGAAGCCAGTTTGCCTCTGGGGTTTTAAACATCATTACAATTCATCTTAATAATGAAGTTAAAATTAACCGAAAGAAGACAAAATGGGAAAAAAAATCCCTCACATCACTAACATAGGTTTATTCATGGGAAAATAGATAAAAGTAATATCCTTTGGGCATAGTTAAGAAAAAAATCAAAATAACCAGTATATAGGGACCCATGATTGAAGCAGCACCTCAAACAGTCATTTTGTGTTTATGGAAGCATAAACTAAGGTATAATATGCACACTTTATTCCCACATATAAACATATGTTTTGAATACACACATACACACACAGTAAAAAATAAATGCAACCACCAAGAGATCTTTAAAATTATATTTTAAAATATCACAAACGAGAGACGATCTACTTACCATGAATTCTGTCTCTGATATCACATATAACTAACCGCAGGAGCTCAGTTCTGCATCACATAAGCTTCCCAGGTTATCTTTCTGGAATCTTTCTGTGGGAAATGAAGAGACTGATGAAAGGTCAAAAGGGGCATCTGCACTCCACTGGGCCCTCAAAATGTCTTCAGGAGCACTCTTGCTTTGACTTTCATCCTTCCCCTCTAAGAGAAAGAACACATCAGGCAGTCTGCTCCTTGGAAATGGACAGGACACTTTTTTCTTTAACCAATTAAATCCTTTTCACAAAACTAAAGCTGTCACATTGGAGATATAATAATGATGGTAACACTAAAGAATTGCAGAGCCAAGTCACACACTAGAAGACGCTGTGTTTGCTTGGCTATCAAGTGGGAACACTGCTTACTCATTCACATTCTTCTACGGTAAAGATTAGAATTCAATTATTTGTCTTAAAACCAGTAAATTATTTTGGTTTAGATTGAAAAAAAAAAACAAACAAACCTGTAAGTTTCCAGAAGAGGTACGCAAAGCTCCAAATTACAGGAGTGAAACTGTTGTGCTTTTTTGTTTTTTGGGTTGTTTTTGTTTGTTTGTTTTTTGTTTTGGGGGGAGGTTTTTGAGAATGGGAGAGATAATTGACTTATTAGCTTCATTTTTCTTCAGTGTTTTGGAGAAACCACACATAAAGAAGCAATGTAAATTAGGAAATAGAGAAAGCACAAATTCTCTTGGCGTTTTTCCCTTTTTAAGTAAACTATTTCAGAAAGGTCGAGAAGAAAATCAAGACTCTCCATTCCTTACATGGATAGCTATTCTCTCTGTGTCTCTCTGTGTCTGCCTGTCTCTCTCTATCTCAATAGCCATCAGCTCTAATTAATCAGAGTTTCTAGCCTTTAATTCTGATTTTTTAAAATTTTTAGTTCGTTTTTCTATATTATACTAGAAGCAGAATGGTAATAAGTTATCAAAAATCACAACTGGCAAATTATCTGCAATATCTATGTTCTAATATTTTACCTTAGTGATATGATCACATGGTTAATTCTAAGTATGGTGTGAGGAAACACTCAAAAAAGTTACATGCAACCTGTGTAACTGGCTAACAGATGCAGATAAATTAATACATGCATAGAAATCTTCCCCACAAAGCATACATGTATATAATAAAGTTAGAAAAATTAGAGATGGCTTAGGTGGAGAAATTAACATGATTGGGTGGGGGCCTGATAACTAAGGAAAAATTTTTAATGATTTGATAGTGCCTTTCCATTAAAAAGATAACGAATCTAGAACCTCAATGAGTGAGCAGTACAGAACGGTGTGACAGAAAGCTATGGAATCTGAGTTCTAGTGTGTATACATAATAGTTTACATGTGGCCCCCAAGTTTAGAACATATCAAAAAGGTACTCCATATCACACAATTGCTAACTTCATGGAATACAATATATTCATTATATTTACATGTAGGAGGCAGTTTAGCATAATGGTTAGATGCATAGTCTCTTAATTACACTGCTTGGATTTAGACCCCAGTTGTTTATTTG